CATTCGGAGCGCGAAGCACCGCACACGCGGGGCGGTCGAATGGGTGAGTGCTATAGAGTACGCCGAGTCCCGTCGGACCATGCCCAAGACAAATGTTCATCGCCGTGGTGCACCAAACCCCATCCTGACTTATGGCTACCGTTTCCGAAAGCGTAACAATTAACTCCAATATATTGCTTTAACATCTGTAATCTGACATCATAGACTTGAAAGCCATGGGTCCGTATGGGTCCCTACAGGCAGGCACACCTACACGCAAGAACGGTCGCACCGAAGCGCCCGCGCGCGATGCGATCGCGAGGGTGCGCGCGAGGGTGCACGAGGCGGCGCGGGGGGCGCGCGCGAGGGGCGCGGTTAAGCGCGCGTCGGGCGACGAAATGAGGTGTGGCGGGTGATGGCAGCCACATCGGGGCTCAAAAGCCCGACAAGCTCGTTGGGAGATTAAGGTCAGGTTCGACGGAAGAGAAGCCTGTCAAATCAAACCTTGAGTACATCGCGCAGCTCGGTGGCAATTGCCCACTCGTCGGCGGTGAGCTCGTATGCGCGCAGCCCATGCTCTCTGGCAGCGCAGAGGTCGTCGAGGGCGCCCTGGTATTCAATGGCCACGTTGAGCATGTCGAATGTCGAGTTCCAGCGTGTCTTGACATCGCGCGGGATCAAGCGCGAGGGGAGACCCTTCTGCTCCAGGATGTCGTGCCATGCGGGGAGTATTTTGGTAGTCAAATGTACTATTTTGAACGCAAGGCGCCGGATCTGTCAAATGCGTGAGTACGTTGCTTCTCTGCCACGTCGACCTGACTCACCTTGACCAGCACCATCTTCACTGGGCGGACCTCCTTCTCGAACTCCTTCCTCTCGTCGCCGGTCAACGACTTGACCTCGTCGACCCAGCTTTCGTCGTCGTCGTCGAGCTCGTCGTCGAGCTCGTCGGCCTCTCCTTCCTCTTCACCTCCTAGCCGGGCCTCCTTGACCTGCTCCTCTATCTCCTTGGCCAACTCCAGGAGCTCACGGACGTCATCGTCGACGACCTCAACGTCCGCAACCGCTTTGACATCGAACTCGTGGAGCAGGCTTTGGGCTGTCAGGTTCGTGATATGAAGGAAACACCGCGTGCGCGCGTACTGCCCCTGGAACTTCGCGAGGAGGTCCGACATGTGAGTGATCATCGTGTCGTTGTTCGACGCGTTGTCACACGTTACACTCAGGATCTATGCGGAAGCTTGGTGAGTACGGAAGCCACACATTGAGCTGTCTAACTGACCTTCTCTTCAATTCCGAACTCCTTCAGGACTGCGACGAAGGCCTTTGCGAGGTTGACGCCCGTGTGCGACTTCAGGATGACATTCAAATGTCAGTGAGCTCGTCGACCACCATGCGACTGCAGGTAACGTACCTCTGCGACCTCTACCATGTCGAGCAACATCCGTATAGACTGACCCTTATGCTCCAGATGCACAGTGATTGCCACGAAAGCTCGGTGATTCGGGGACGTCCAGGCGTCCGTCCCGAAACTGAGCTTTCCGGGGTGTTCCTGCGACGCCGTGTGAGTCCTTGTGCAGTTATTAATGTTTGCCATGCCTCTTACCTGAAGTAGGTTCGCGACACGCTGGCGCGTGCGCGCGAAGACCATCTTCACGTCGCGGGACACGGTCGAAGGCGACGGGAGGTAGTACCCGGGTCTTCCGGTCTTCATCAACCTCTTGAAGCCCGGGTCGCGGACGATGCTGAACGGGCGGCAGCTCTCTGCCACCCACTTGACAATTTCCACTCTGGGTGTCTCGTAAGTCAGTGTCCGCGTCGTCACAATGTTGTAGCATGCTCACCTTGTTTCCTCTTTAGTGTGTTGCATATGACTGTACGTCACGGCACCCTTCTTCTTGCGAGGGAAGTATGTGCTGATACTTCCCGTACGCAGGACGCTGTCGACCACGACGCGGCGCGCCTCTTTGTCGTCGTCAAGCTCGAATGCCCGCGTGACCGCCTCTTCACCCCAGCAAGAGGTTGCGTGCTTGCGCATGTTGCCCGTAGACCGGTCCTTCTTATCGACGTAGCGCCGTAAGGTCACCGCGCACGAAGGCTTCGCGCATGAGAACACATGGCTGCGCCGTCCACCATGGACCTGGATCTTGACCTCGGGCTCGTAGAACGCATAGACGGGTGACGTCCATCGCTCACGCAGCCGCTCTGTCGTCGTGTTAGTACTTGATTCATGTTGATCGCTGACTGTGTCACACACCGAGCTCCGCCTCAGCGTCATCGCCGCTGTCCTGTTCCTCGTCGCTGGCCTTGGCCTGGGTGTTGTCCTCGTCGTCGCTGCTTATATCGATAGCTTCTTTCTTCTTCTTCTGCGAACGCGCGCGTGCGGCGGTGACCTCTTCATCTTCAACCTCTTCAACACTGGATTGGTATCGGTGTCGCTTTTTGGTGGATGGGTCGTCGGTGGCTTTGCTGGTATTTTTGTCGATGGCATTTGCTGCCGATGTCCGAGTAGTGCGGGTGGTTGCGACTGAAGAAGTCGAGTCCGATTTGGAGAGTCCTGCCTTGCTGGCACCGCCCTTCGGCGGCGGCTTATCCTTGGCAGCGGCGGGCTCGTTTGTCTTCTTCGGGGCCATGTCTGTCAAGTTGTGATGTTAGTGTACATCGACCCGAGTGAGTGAGAGAGAATTACGAATGCAGGTTGTGCTTCGGGTCAGGAGGATAGGGATAGGTTGGAGGTGTGATTTTCTGTCCGATTCACCATTCGTTACTGTGTCGGGACTTGAAGCAGCCACCTTATCCTAGTCCTATACAGTTGTGTGGCGCCCGGCGTACCTCAAGCTCGCGATTTTCGCCTGTTATAGTAATTATATTACGGAGAACACCGGCAGACTCAGACGGGAGGAGGCTACCGCTTGTTATGGTATGTAAAGAGACTGGCCAGCCCAGAGGGTGTGGCAGTGCCATCAAAATCTAGTCAGCTTTGCTCCGAGTACGGATATCTTCGGACGGATACCAAAATCCCTTCCCGGGATAGGGATTTGGCAAGGATTGGCCTGAAGGCTATCCGGATCCGTGATCCCTGGATATATCCCTATAAATCCCTATAAATATCCCTATCCTTGCCATTCCCTAGCACTGACGGCCGAACACGGTTACCTGCTGCTCTGATGAAGCAGGGTATGCTCGCATTTCGCAAGCTGACAAAGGAAGAGGCTGCAGAGCAGAATGCGCACAAGTTTCAAGCTCTCCAGGAGACGACCACTCAGAGTGAAGCACGGGAGTCTATACGGAAGGCCCGCGAGCAGGAGCAGCGCAAGGCATATGAACGAGAGCACAAGGTGTGGTACCGGTTCCGTCAGAAGGACAACTCAACATCATTCAACTCTACCTCTCCCAATGTCCAGGTGACATCCTCCACACCGCAACCATTGCTCCCGATGATGCCACAGGCTTCTACCAGAGCAATCTCTTCCGTCGAGTCTGTCATCCCACCCCAACTTCTTCAATCTCAGGAAATCTCGCAGCCAGACCCGTCTGATGTCATTAACATCACATCTGAGCATTCCAATACCGAGTCCCTCGTCAAAGACAGCCCCGCAGTGGCTGGCACTGGGGTCGCAGTTCTGACGTCCTCACAATTGGTATGTATTCTCTATCAGTACATGCTTCGTCGACTGCTCACTGCCTCAAAAGTGCACTCTAATCCAGGTACAATCTCCATCTGTGAAGCAGCAGAATGCGCAAGTGACTGTTTCTGGTCGGACAATCGCCCGACGTGACAAGCAGGCGAAGAAAACAGGCCAGGCACCTCCGCCATTCCACACAAACTGGCAGTGCCACTGGACATGGCAAGACATTCTCAAGGCTCAGTGCAAGGTCGGATGGAGCCCGACTGAGATAACCAAGTATCTGTGGAAACTCCGCCCAAGCTGGTACACTCCAGACGAGGGGCAGGGCGGCGGTCTTCACCATGGCACCGTGGCAAAGTGAATGGAGTCGGACAGCGGCAGTCAGATGCGCTGGAAGGAGAGTGTCCTTGAACGTGCGCGTCTTGGGCGCATTGGAGTGACAAAATGGTCAAAGTTGCTGGTGAGTTACTTTCTTGTGGTTTAGGATGTGCGTATGTACTCATATTGTCTCAGGATAAACATCCCGAAGTCATGAAGGCAATCAACACGCAGCTTGAGAGCATCCGACTGGTTGGCGGCTGCGTGCAGCGTCCGCTAGTTAGTGCGGTCATGCAGGCTCATCTAATGCACAGTATCCCATACGTTTTCGACCAAGGCTTCAAGCTCTCCGACACCTGGGTTCATAACTACATCTCTGACGTCTTGAACTGGTCTATGAGGAAGTCAATAAAGGCCGCTCACAAGATTCCAGCAAATGCGAACAATTTGTGCCGAGCAATGCACGCACGCATTGCTCTCGTCTGCCGCCTGTACAACATCAAAGCGGACATGGTGATCAATGCAGATCAGACTGGAATCAGCCTCTTCCCTACTGGCAAGTACACCTACGAAGTGAAGGGTTTGAAAGATGTGTTGATTGTCGGCCACGAGGAGAAGTGGCAAGTATGTGACCATTTCGCCACTGCATTCACCCAAGCCACTGACTCTGTGATATCTCAAGATGACACTGGTGGTTGCCTCCTCCATGAGCGGGAACATGCTTCCATTCCAGTCTGTTTGGGGAGGCAAAACGGCTGAATCGTTGCCTTCGACAAAAGCAGCTCGCAGGAACGAAGCAGATGCCCTCGGATTCAAGTATGCGCATGGCGATACTCGTCATTGGAGCTCACGTGAGACAACGAAGGAGGTGCGTGCCGCATCCATGCAGGTTGTACATGTCAGTTGATTAGTCCTGATCGCCGCTACAGTGGGTTCTCGACATTGTTGACCCTTATCTCGCCAAAGTGAAAGTGGACAATCCAGACATCACTGAGAATGACCATGCCCTTCTCATAGACATTTGGCCGGTTCATATTGCGCAAGGCAGTTCCGATGACTTCCTCCCTTGGATGAAGCGCGCTCACCCAAATATCATTATGCTCTTTGTTCCCGGTGGATGTAAGTGTTTTGTGATCGCAAAAACTCGTCGCTTACCATGTTTTACTTGCAGGTACTGGCCTTGCACAACCAGCAGATGTTGGCCTTCAACATATCCTGAAACATCAGATCAAGCGCAGCGCAACTGACTTTGTCGTTGCCACTGCAACTTGACAGCTGGCAGTTGGTTGTAAACCAGAGGACATCAAGGTTCCGACCGATCTGCCCACTCTTCGCAATGCCTCCATTGCCTGGCTCCTTGATGCACACGCATATTTTCGCAAGAACCCCGACGTTGTGCGCAAAGCTTGGTCAAACTGCCAATTTACAACACCCAAGCATGGCATACTCAATCTTTCGTATGATTCTGTCACCAGTATCGAGTCGACGAACCATTTGAACCAGCTCTACGCCATGGACCCCACTCTTTGCCAGGAACTTGCAAAATGCCAATTTTCGACAGTCTCTGGAAGTCCTGAAGCTGATGACGGCCCTGATGCGTTGACCGCTGAATTTGACGATGACTTGTCCATTGACGCCACCGATTTAGCCAAACTTTGGATGAATGGGCCGCAGATTGCCTCCGATGTTGTTGCATCTGATCCTGTTGGCGACGCTGACCTCATCATGGTTGCTGCAGGTGACTTCCATCCATCCCGGCCCGGCCACCAGGGAGACTTTGCAAATCAAAGCATATCTGTGGTTGCAGCAGCTTCGACCAACCCCGCACCCTCCTCTCCAGGCTGTGCTCAGGCCAATCCTCCCGAGTCTGAATCGGAGCCGGTACCAGCAGCTCCCTCTTCCGTTTTCTTACTAGATGTTGCCGTTCAAGGTGGAACAAATTACGCGGCCTCCCAGACCAAAGCTGAGGCCCGTATCACTGACCGCGCATGTAGGAAAGGCAAGAAAGGCAATCGCAAACCCGATCCTGCTCCACCAGCATCCACCGTGTCTAGCACATCGAGCACTAAGGCGAAGAAGAGCCCACCGTGACCTCGAGCTGTAAACAAGAAGCGACCCCGAGCTGAGGAGACCAATACCGTGGCCAAAGCTCCAGCAAAAAAGTGTCGCTCGAAATGATTATATTATGATGTTCTTTCTGTAATACAGCCACTACAACTCGATTTATACCATCACGCACCCGTATTGTTAAACACCTACAGCCTGGGGGACTTGACACAGGGGGCAAAGCGCCGTGTTTCCGTCAAAAACATGCCAAGAACATGACGGGAATAGATAAAATGTTTGCGACATAGGATGTGGGTCAACACGTCGAAGATATGGCGAAAATGTTACATATGTTTTTTGTCATGTTTGAGCCATGTTTCCTAACGCGAACATGGCATAAACACTACCAACATGTTTTTTGCCGGAACATACCAGAGCACATGGCGAGAAATTTGGTTGTGTTTGCGGAATGCTCGAACGGGCAGTATGGCGGAAACATAGCGGAAATATTGTCGATGTTATCGACACCATGTTTTTGCTAGGGAATATGTCCGAATTTGGCAATAATAGGCCAAACATCTTCGCCATATTGCTACCCGAAACATAGCGTGAAAACATAGCGCAAACATATCGAACAAATCCGTCATGTTCTGCCCAGAAACATGGCGAAGTTGTGACAACAAAATTTTCAAACATTCTACGTATGTTTACTCGATGTTCTCATTAATAACATGGCACTCCCATTTTTTCTATTCTTGCCGTGTTCTTGGCATGTTTTCGACGGAAACACTGATGCTGAATCGCACTACGAGTTGCATTAAGAGTCGCGCCACGAGTCGTGGCATGACTCGCTACATGACTCGCTACATGATTCGCTTCGGACGTGGTCAGCAGTGAGGTTTCGCGGCGCTTGTGTAGGCCGAGACGGAGAGCGCGCGAAGATGATGGTGTAAGACGGGAGACAGGAGGCCGGGATTGAGGAAATGCGGCTCGCCGCAGCAGCGCCCGGTGGTATTCGTGTCCGGGATTGAGGAAATGCGGCTCGCCGCAGCAGCGCCCGGTGGTATTCGTGTCCTCAGGTCGAACGTACAGGACAACTCTCGAGAAGGACACGCAGCACCGTAGCCGCAGTACAGGCCGTGCAGAGGCGCCCCGCTTGTCTTCGCCTACATGCACGGACTGGCATGCTCCCGGTACCCACAGACGACAGACGATCGCGAGCTATGTTGGGCTGGAGCGCGCAGCGTGCGGCCGGGCGAAGGTGCAGGGTGCTGGCGCAAGGTCACCGCACGGGGGGCGCGCAGACGCAGACTGAACCTAGCCGTCATGCAATAAATGAGCCTGTGTCAGCTTGTTACACGCCTCCCCGAAGGTACTTGTGCTTACCGTAGATGTTTGTTGGACCTCCGTGATGCACCGCCCCCCTGCGCGCCGCAAGCCCTATCCAGTTCTTCCAGCGCGCAATTCTTCCAGCTCGTCATTGACGGCTCGCGGTGAGTGAGACGTGAGACCACAACAGGTCGACGCTGTCGAGGGCGCGAGTTGGAACGGGGAAGTCCACGGTTGCGTGTTGACAGACCCGCGCTGGCGAGGCCTCGGGGAAATTGGCGTCGACGTAAGCCCAGGATCCTTCCCAGATATACGTCTACAAGGCGTATGTCTTCCTGGAAGTTGACCACGGTTTTGTAGTAGTACGAGTATCTGCGGACGATGAGCTGCTCGATGAGCTGATAGTAGTCGGGATACTCCTGGACGGGCGCCGTGAGCGCTCTACACGGAGGACAGACCAAAGCATCGCTCACCCTCCTGACAGGGAACTCGCGGAAGAGAACACTTCGCTTCCGACCGTGCTCGTCGTCCAGGGTTTAGGGTTTGGACGGCCTTGTGGATACCGTTTAAGACCTCTTCAGCTGCTCCTTGAGCCCTGTCGGGAGCTCAATCCCCTTCTTGCGACGTTTCTGGAGGCAGTCAGGAACCAATGATGACAGGCCTTGAGAGCCACATACCGCGTCGAAATCATTGTTGTACTACCGCGCAGATGAGCCGTTCACCGACGCCAACGAGATCGATAAGGTGGAGAGCCGTAGGCACCGCCGGCGTACCGCCGTCTGGATGCCTCTCCCGCCCATCGGAGTCTGTCCGGCCCAGCCGCAGCAGCGACCCGTGCATAGGCAACACCAGAATCGATGCGCGCAACCTCGTCCGAGGAGCTCTGTAGGTCATTATGGAGGGGAGGGATTCGAATTGGCGAATTCGCTGATCGATGCGCGCGTCGATGTAGTGATTCCGCTCTCGGCGGCGCGAGTCGAGCCCGAGTGACATGATCGACAGGACGCGCGGGGGCGGGGAGGGGTATGCGTTGTACGAGTAGATGCCGGAGACCATGTCGTCTTCCATGAACGGGCTCTTGGGTAGCTTGTCGGCCTCAGTCGTGATCTCGGTGGGTGTGCCGACGGACACAGCGTGCTCTACAGCGGAGGACTTGCAGATCGGGGACGGCCTGTTTGAGGGAGCGGATGGTCTGTCGGATAGACCCCGGCACTGGCAAGTCGCGGAATATGAGTTTGGAGGTATGAATGAGGGGATTCGGGAATGGGTGGAAAAGGACGATTCGAGGACCGCAGGTCGATGATAGCACCGCAACAGGAAGACCACGACTTACTAAACGGGCCTCACGAAGGTGATGCACCCATGGATTAACCCAGTCGTGGTGTGGCACGCGTGAGTCGAGAAGCGTAAGCTCGATCTTGCAAGGTGAGGTCGATAGGGAGGCGGCGGCGGGCGACAGATTGAACACGTCGCCATGAGCCTGAATGGCCGTTCACAGAGATTCACGACAAACGCAAATGGTACAGCGTCGCAGGTCGAGGCGCAGGGTGTGGTTAGCTGGGGGTGGTAACGGGGATATCGGCAAGGCGAGAGGCAGACTTACTTTGTCTGCTCTGTTATTCGATTGCTTCCGTTTCGCTGTAAGACATCGTGCAGCTCCCCAGAAGCTAAGTGAGGCGTGTGCTTCTTCGCATTGAGGTGTCTGCAGGGCGTGCGTAGATGCGCGGATTGACCATGGTAGAGGTAAAGAATGAGTACGAAAGAGAGAGACCAGGCAGTGAGTCGAAGATTCCTCACGCGATAGGACAGGCGCTTACAGCGCTCCACCCCGGGCCGCCCCCACCGCCCGCCGAATGAAGACTTAGCCAGGGCGTCGGGCGCGACCGTATGTCAAACACCGTGTTCTCTATCATATTCACTCCGAGTCTTGGCATAATCATACATCAT